CTTATTATCGATATCTTTCATCGAATAAAATTTGGTTTGGATAACGCAGATGTCATATTTGCCGATTGAGCAACATATTCAATCTCTTCTTATTGTAATTCAATCGTAAAAAAATCTTAATTCGTTGATACGATCAATATATATCCCGTATATAATAAATGATATATGATTGAAAAAAATTCAAATTTAAAACAATAACTTTTTTATTCATATGATTAATAAAATCAATCATATGTCATCGATAATTTCGTTTTAAGCACTGTGATGGTAAAACACGAAATTTATTACATTTTTTGTCTAATATGTTTTTTATTATCGATATTTATATATGTATATACATATTTATATATATATATATTTATATATATATATGTATACATAAATAAATAAATATTTTATAAAAAATAATATTTCTTGTTTTAAATGTTATAAATTTTTTACTCGTTACAATTGTTATTTAGGATAATAAATTTTGGCGCGAAAATATTTATAACTCTATATTAGATTTTATCTTATTATTTTTAATTATTTATATTTTATAAAATAAATTTTAACTATGACTCGTGATTATAATCTATATTATATATATATATATATATATAGTTTTAATGTAATAGTTTATAATATTTTAATACTTTATGTTTAAGGTATACGCAGCTGATGGAATGCCACAAATGATTTGTAATATGTGTCGCTGGAATCTCGATAGATCTTATAAATTTAAACTTCAATGTAAAAAGGCAGATGAAGCATTACGAGCTTATCCATTATCTGGTGTCTTGCCAAGACCATTCCCACCAATTCCAAATGATCCTCCTGATATGAACAATAAACGACCTTCGGAACAAAGACCTCAAAGTGAAGGAAATAAGAAACCTCGAGTTGATAATGGTGATAGAGAAAGAAGAGAAACACGGGAAAGAGATAGAGAAAGGGATAGAGAAAGAGATAGGGAAAGGGATAGGGAAAGGGAAAGGGATAGAGAAAGGGAAAGAGAACGTGAGAGAGATAGAGAACGTGACAGAGAAAGAGAAAGAGAAAGGGAAAGAGAAAGAGATAGACAAGTAGAAAATCAAAGAGACAAAGAAGATCAACATGATTTTTATGAAGAAGAACAAGATGCTGGTAGCGAAGGAGATCAGGATACGAATAGTACTAAAGAGGAACAAAAATTAGAGCCAGGTGAGATAAGAGTACATGCGTGTGATCAATGCGATCGTACGTTTCCTTTGCGACAAGCTCTTGCTTTACACATTCAAAGAGCTCATCGTGATCGTAATTATAAATGCACAGTATGTGACCGCATGTTCTTTTCTAAATATGATCTTGGAAAGCATATGACTACTCATTCGGAAGAGAAACCATTCTCTTGTCCAATTTGTAACAAACAATTCTCAAGAGCAAATTTATTACAACGTCATGAAAAAGTTCATAGAGATGAATTGCGCTATGGTTGTCAACATTGCGATCGTGAATTCTTTACAACAGAAGAATTAGAAAAACATGAGGATTCTGTACATAAAAAGGAAAAACCGTTCCAATGCAATATTTGCAATAAACGTTTTACATATAAACAAGGTTTGGAACGTCATGAAGTGCTGCATAACGAAGATAAGACTTTCGTTTGCGAATATTGTAAGGAAGCATTCCGTACAAGTACCAAGTTAGCTCGTCATTTAACAACTCATGCTGGACATCGACCATACTTATGTAAATTATGCCCACGTTCATTCCTTTTATCCCATCACTTAACAAGACATATGCGAACTCATTCTGTAGAAAAACGTCATGTTTGTGAAGATTGCGGTAAAGCATTCAAACGTAAAGAGAGTTTGGAAGTACATCAATTAACGCACACAAAACGCACAGGTATGGGTTTAACATGCGATGTTTGTCAAGAATCATGTAGAAACAGAGCAGATTATGTTACACATATAAAGCAACATATTGAAGCAGGTGAAAAAATGGGACCAGATGGATTACAACCTGATAATAAAACCAAACTTGAATTGGATTCCGACGAGGATGAAGAGGAAGAACAATACTCGGATGGAGATGATGATTATGAACCGCCAGCATATATTGTGAAAAAACTTCCAAAACCAAATAAACCATCGGAAAGCGAAGAAGAACCAGAGACAACAGAAAAAGAAGAAAATCAAAAAGAACAAGTTGTATATGTAAGAAACAAAGATGGAAATATGATTAAAAAGACAATTAAAACTTTGATGCCTATTCAACGTAGAGAAGTACAAGATACCAAAATAAAACAAAGTCCCTCGGGTAATCAATCACAATCAAATACGAAACCTTTACAATCTAAACAAACTGAAGAATCCTCAAAGTCTTCCCGCGTAGATGAAACAGAAGCACAAGTACAAAAAATTGTTGCATCTGTGTTTAAGGAACATAAAATACCGCTAAAACATCAAAATGTTCAAGAACAAAGTAAAGAATCATCTATATCTACAAATCAATCTAGATCGCAACAAGGACAAAGTAGTTCACAAAATCAAGTTTCTTTGAAAGATGAAAAATCTGAAACTCCCGTATTAGTCAGTGGAACACCAAAAGCTGTAAATACTGTTAAAGTAATAAAGAGAATTGTTGTAAGAAAACCTAGCGGTAATACCGAAACTAGTACATCCACGATAAAAGACGAGGATGGTACTTCTCAAACTCTTAGTACAGGACATAAAGTAACAAAAAGAGTAATCGTTCGTAGAATTATTCGTCAAGGAGATACTACCCGAGAGATAATCATGAATCCTGATGGTACAATAATCGATCCAGCAGAATTGGCCAAGCTTCCAACTGGTAATGTTGTGAAAAGAGTTGTTGTGAAAAAGCCACTTGATAAACATCAAAGTTTGGTTCAAGCTGTATTACAATCGTCCACGGAATCACGACAATCTACTTCGATAAAGAATAACGATTCGGTATTGAACGAATCTCCGAAATTTGAATTAAAAACATCTCAGTCCATAAATGCATCACCTTCAGTAACAAAAACGTCTACATCTACAGCACAAAAACCTACAATAACCGTAGGAGATCAAGAAACTAAGGAAAAATTAGAACAATTGGAAAAAAGAGTAGAGCAACAACGCTTAAAAATAGAAGAATTAGAAGCTCGTAAACAACAAGAGTATGAACCTATTGAAGAAATGTCACCAGAACGTCATGATGAATCTGATGATGAGCAACAATTACCATTGAAAAGAGTATTTGTAAAGAAGAAACAAAGTATGTATGACGAAGAACAAGAATATAATGATAATGATGTAACAATGGTTTCTGTAACAACTCCTATATCAACTTCTATAACGACTCCAACGATTTCTGTAACAACTCCAACAACAATAAAAATAGAAGATATTAAATCTGATATGGAAATAGAAAAAGAGAAAGAAAAAAATAAAATTGAAGTACAAGTAGAAAATATACCAAAAGATGTTTCCATGATACCAAAAGCAATTTCTATAACAACAGCAATAGCTACAACGCCAATAACAACAACAACAACAGCAACAAGTGCTACTATTAGAAAAGAAGGTAAACCATTAATAACCAGTTCTAAAGTCTATGGAAATAAGAAAATCATTGTTGTAAAAACGGGAGAATCATCGGAAGTGGAAGAAATGAGTCGAGAATTATGTAACATATTAGATTCATCTGATTCTGTTGTTAAAATGCAAGAATCAATTCTAAGTAATCTCACTCAAATTTCTTCTCTTGGAGAATCTTCTCAAAAAAGTAATGATGATAAAGCAAAAGCTGGACCTTCGAATTCAGAGGATTATTTGATAAAGGAAGAATCTGCTAAAACCGATTCCCAAGATCAAGAAATGGATATAAAACTAGATAATTCAGTTTCTATGGATGTATCGGATTCCCAAGTATCCGATGTTAAAATAGAATCCGAAGAACAAATTATGGAACAACCTGAACAAAATTCAAATTTAACTATAGATGAACAGGATCTTTCAGAATCTACAGATATTTTTGAACCATCAGACAATGTATTAGAGGTACAAAAAAGTGAGTTAGGTGATTCTGTAATAGAACTTGATCATGAAAATCATACAATCAATTTAAACGATACTAATGATAGTCAAGATAGTCTTGAGGATAAACTTCAACAAATGGAAGGTTAAACTTTCTATTAGGAATAATAAAATAAGCTTTGACTTAAAATTTTATAAATCCTAATTTGATCAATATTACATTTTAAATCATAATTTTATAAATTCAAAACTTAATGTCTATACAATTTAGACAAACATATATAAACATTTTCATCGTTCTAGAATTTTGTTAAATTTATCATTCATAATCAAATTTTAGAATAGTTTATATATTATCTTACATATAAACTTCCTTCTCTTTAATTTTTTCCTGTGTGATGATTGAAGCATTATGTTTACGATGTTGATTATTAATTATAGTAGTAAAGCACAATAAGTTAGTGCCTAGTAATTATATTCCTTTCATATATAAATTAATATAAAATTCATTAACGTTTTGTATCTATAACAAAAAAATTTGTTATCTTCATTCGAGCGAGAATATATTATAGGCATATTAAAAATCAAGTGTGAAAGAAATTGTAAATTTAAGAACTCATTTTAGATATTTGACTTATTGTCTAGTATTTGTGCATCCAAATATCAAACATAAGAAATTTGTATATATATATATGCCGGACTCAATACTTTATTTCAAACCTTCTTTGCTTCATTTATTGATAAAATTTTTTTGTTCAATGCTATGTTACATTTTCTTACTATTGGTAATACATAGAATTGATTCCTCTATTGGGAATACAAAAGATATTTTGATGAATTAAACTTAATATTACTATTTAATCATAGTATGCTAATTCTATCAGACTAGAATGAACATGGTACATAGATTGCCTGATATTCTATAAACATTTGAAACTATGTATCAAATACAAAGTATGATGTGTAAATGTAAAATTTAGTGTTGATTCTTTTTCGAAAATACCTTTACCGTATAATAATATAAATTTAATACAAATAACACGTCACAATACTTTCGTACAAAACATTTATATTTTATTTGTTACTATTTTAGATTATAGCACATATATAAACTTAGTGTACATTTTACTATTACATTTTATTATATGATTTCATATATTATTTCAATTATATTTTAATATACAATTTATAAAAAAAAAAATAATATAAATTTTCAGTTTTTAGATATAAAATGTAGGAGCGAATGATATTGAATGGTTATTGATAATAAAAATGTATAAATATTGATTAAATACTGAAAATACATTATCATTAGAATTTATAAATTAAATATTGCATGTTATATTCTGATTATACGTTATAATAATTGTATAATTATAATTTAAAATATAATAATATCGAATAAATACAAAACATCGTAAATTAATATAGATTAATTGATATTGGCATTTGTTACGATTTTATACGATTTTTTATATCAAAATGTGGTAAATATTTTAATACAATATAAAAAATTATATTTAATTGTATTATTTGAAATACAAGAGTTTTCATTTTAATCATTTATCGATAATTCAAGAATATTTTGCGAGTAGTTTGTAACAATAAATAGGTTATATCTTTGAAATGACGGAAGATGTCGACACTATATAAAATTTTTGTTCGGCAGACTCGATCTTTGGTTTGCAATAATCATTACTCAAATCTGATATAAAGGAACGATTTGAAATTACAGGTAAAGAACATATATTTATATATAAACGAATATATATATCTGTGTATTCAATGATGTAATATTATCAGATATATAATTATTTTGTGACAAACTCGAAACACTTTTCATGTGTCAATATTACTTTCTTTGTTGGAAAATATTTAAATAGTTTTGCTTAATAATGACGCGATGATTAAATAACATAAAACTCACTTATTTTAGGCATATAAATCATTACATAGATAATGATCGAAACAGTTGAAAATGCGTTGGTTAGCAGTAGTTAGAACATCAAGCAGGATTGTCTTTCTTCTTACTGGTAAGGCTCTGTAGCTGTAAAAATAATACTTCGAATATTTTCGATTTCATATGAAATTTATCATATGATGTAAAAAAAAAAAATCATATTCCCGTCTTCGAATTCTTTATTTGTGTCGATGTTTTTTAAAGTCCACCGCGTCCACTGTCTATGTACTCGAACTTCTGTAGGGCAAAGACGATTGAAAATTTAAAAAAAAAAAAAAAACAGTTAT